TGTATATATTTAATTGGAGCTTGGCAGCAGGGAATATATGTTTCACCTTAGAAGAATAAAGTTTATTTCATTGTGGGAAGAAAGTAGCATTTTACTATCCTAGCTGTACGCCATGATGGCAGTGGTGAAAAAGTGAGTATTGGATGGTAACATTGCCACAGAAGTAATCCTTAATGCTTGAGAACCATCAAAAGCCTTATTTTCTTACATTCATAGTATTTCTACATCAATACACCAGTACAGAAATTTTACCATTCCAGTTACTAGAAATGTCTCAGGGAAAAGCTACCTGTGGAATTTTTTTTTTTTCTAATCCACCTGCTTTGGTTATTACCAGATCACTGTCACAGCATTTTAAGCATGTCAGCATTTCTGTCATTACCTCATTGGCGGTAAATCATCATGCATTCTAAAAGATAAAGATCGTTCTAGAAATCAGCCATTGTAGCTTTTTAGAAAGTTTTCTTCGTATCTTTATTATACCAAAACCAAATATTTCTCTAACTTCAAGCAGTAAGTATTCACATTTCTGTCACTTTTATCAGTTTTAATCAGGATCCAAGTATGATTTGTGTATTGTAATTTTAGAAATACCTTCTTGTGTGTTCTGGCCCACATTTCTTCCCTCCGTGTTTTTGTTTGTGTTCTAAAATGGCTTTATTTTCCTATAGTTTCCCTGTGTAGATTGTCCCTTAGCCCCAAATGCATTCACTGCATTTTCATAAGTTGATATTAAGGTCTATATCCTTGCTTGCATTCAAGTTTCATTGTGTGCGCAAGGTGGCTTCATAGGAGAGGATGCATTCTTCCACTGGGAGCCTCATAATACCTGCTTTTCTGCTCCGACCTTAGCAACCATTTGGTCCTGGTGCTGAGACACGGTAACAGAGGACCTACTCATATCCAGATGTATTAACTGTGCTTTCCCTTTGCGGTGTGCCTGATACATGAATAATTATGTCCACGCTTTCCCTTTATTGAAAACTACTTTCACCCCCTTTCCACACTGGGAGGCCAGTCCATAGAAGTACATCTCAAATGATAGATTTATGATACTTCAACAGAAAAAACAAATGCAACCCATGGTCTTTTCAATCATCTTGTATGTATCCCAGGTTTACATTTTATTATTTTAGTCTGTCTTTTGTAGATCAGTGAAAACTTTTGATTGTAACATTAGTATGTATTCCAAGTACATTTGTGCTTCTAGAGCAACTCAGTTGTATGTATTTTAAAATAGTCTGAAATGGACATTTTGACTCTGAAAAATAATACTTTGAAAATGTCAGTGTAATTGTCACTATTTGGGATACACAATGTGCTTCATTTTAAAACAACCTCGTTTCTCACAAAATATTTAAAAATGATTAAATGTGCTTCCTTTTTAAAATCTCGGTTTTTAGACTTTTTGATTCAATAATTTCAAAGACCTTCTGTTGTTCATATCTTCTGATACTTGGCTTAATACGGAGCTCTTAAAGACACCTCAGTTCCCCATGGAAGGAATGCATTGTGGGGCCCCGTGCGGCAAGTGAGGAAGTGGCACTTGATCATGTCAGGTTGACAGTGCCAGTTGATGCGTTGTATGTTGGTTATGACTTGCTTTTTTTTATAACCATGCTGCCTTTTTGCTTTTCCTTGAGTGTGTGTGTGTGTGTGTGTGTGTGTGTGTGTGTGTTTGTGATGGTGTTGATTTGCTAATAACGGAAGGTAGCTTCTCCTTCTAAGCAAGCATTACTTCTGAGTTCTACCCCCAGCCCCATTAAGTGTGTTTCAAATGTAAATGCTATTTCTGCACTTGATTGGACTGTGTGTATTTCATGAATTTTATAACCTCATCTTGGAATGTTTCTGTTTGTTGTGAAGACCAGTATAATGACTGGTTCACGTGTGTATTCCTAGCGGTGGTACAGTGCTTGGCACATAGATGCCTGCCAATTCATTGAATGAGCCCCTGAAAGTGACCTGAGATAAATATGGTACTTAGAAAAAAATGGTGGGATTAATTTTTTTTTTTTTTTTTTGGATACAAGCTCAGCTGTCATGTAGAGATCATGAAGGAGCTGTTGATAAATGAAGGCTGGCAGTGTAGCACAGGTGTAGACCATGAGCTTGCTCGGCATCTACAAGGTCTGGGTCCTCAGCCCTGAACACTGAGGGCTTATTTATGGGAAAATCTGGCAATAACGGTTTGGTACACTGTGAGAGTAAGTAAAAGATGGATAATGAAAACAAATTATATTTGATACCTATAATATTTCATATGTGCATGCTTTTCTAAAAGTTCAATATGTATTGGATGGCTGATAACTGGCCTTTTTGAACATTTGTCTTAGAAGATGTACAATTGTTATCTTTATTATAGGTGCTATGCTTTTGACATAACAGATTGTCATTTTTCTTTTGGGGGGTAAGTTTTTGTGGAATAGGGAGTAAATTTCCAGTGAATGTGAGATACTGTAACTGTTGTGAAAGAAGCAATCTGTTGTTTTTAGAGATTCATATACCTCCTTTTCATGGTAAAATTGTAACACTTATTTTCTGGCACTTAAGACACGTAAGAGTTTTGTGGGCCATTTCCCTAGGTGATAAGATGTTTCTTCAAGTCACTAGCTTAGGTTTAAAAAAAAAAAAATCAAGTTTCACTTTCACAGTGAACCTTTTACTTGTGCAATATAAACAGTCTATGTATGGGCTCTATGTTTATCTGAAATGGTATTTTTGAATCAAATTCTCAAATTCGCATCAAAATGCTTTGCATGCAAAAGATTTTACATCTTTCTTTATGTTTCATACTGACACTCAACTTGTATTCTTAAAGCATTTGATTATCCTTAAGTATGCTTTGTCTCTTTTCTAAATTAGTAAAAGAACCAGGAAGAGAAACGAGGAAAGTAACTTTTATGTATTTACCATCATCTTTACCCATGTGAACTACTTTTGTGATGATCTGTGGGTTGAAAAATCTTAGTTTGCACTCATACTCAAGTAACCTCAGCTTTTGAAAAACAATTTTGGAAGTACTACTGTTACTATCCTGTGAACATCATTATAAAATAAGGAATCACAAATTTAAAGTGTGTGTACTAGGGATAGGTCCATTTTACCTCTACCAGAGGAAACATTCTTTTAAAGGCATATTTAAAAGACCTAGTGCATAAGAAATAGCAGATTTGACAATTGGGACTTTTTTTTATTTCTGCCACTGCTTTTAGGTGGTTGACTTTGGATTTCAGTTAGCCTCTCAGTAAAGACAGTAGACTCATCCACATTGAAGTTTGGTGTAGTGGTTAAAAATATAATTTCTGTTCTGAAGAAAACCTTATGTAGAATGATCCCAAATTTCTCTTGCATTTACAAGCACTAAGTACTCTTTGACTGTACTGACAAATATTTGAATTTTATGGTATCAAATTGAGAGCTAGTAATTAGACTGATAAACAGAAGTTGATAATCTCAGTTATGCTAAAAGTTGTAGTTTGAGCACAATCACATGTTTTTCCCACTCTGTCAAGATTGTGTTCATTGACAGTTTATTCAGATGGATGACTTGTTCTGAAGGGTAAGAGGTGCAATCTGAAATGAAGCTAATGAAGTGACCCACAAGTAAACTATATTATTAGTTTGCAAAAGAAAATCATAGAAAGTAAAACGACATGTGAACAAGACTGGTCTTGAACTGACAGACATTATCTGCCTCAGCCTTCTTAGTACTACAATTGAATAATAGTACTTGGGTAGATAAAACTTTTCCAACATGCCAGCCCTTCATTTCCATTTCAGTTTGCCATGTCTGGTGTGAAGATGTAATTGTAAGGAATTAAGGCATGAGACATACATCTTCATGAAAACAGCTTTTTATTTCCTATAGACAAAGGGCAAGCCTTTATTAGCTGTTGCCTCCCACCCAACCCCAAAATCTGAGAAAAAGCAAGGGCTGAAGACTTGTGTCTCAACCCAGCTTTTCCTTTTGTTCCGTATTGAGCATTTACTGGATGACTGACAGGATACTTTAAAACCCTGTCTTCATGTATAAAGTGGTATTTTCACTGTCTACCTTACTGGGTAGAAGATTAAAACAAAACCAAGTTTATGGAATGAGGGTGTAGTTCATTTGGTGGAGTGTGTACTTACCATATGCAAAACTGGGGTTGGTTCCCCAGCAGCACATAAACTGGGCATGATGACAGATGCCTGTAATCCCCACTGTACAAGGTCCCACCTTTAGAATCATGAGTTCATAGTTAGCCTTGGCTATACAACAGGTGCCAGATTAGCGTGAGATGCATGGTATCCTATCTCAAACAGAGGAAAACAAAACACATCAACAAAACCAGAAAATGGGTATGAAGAAACTTATGAGTCACTCCACAAAATTGAGTTGTTAGATTTCATATGGCTACAATAAGCAATGTAAAACAGTGATATTACTTAATACATTTGAATTGTGTTGATTCCATTTTTTTCTGAATTTATGGATGTCATCTTTTTAAAATTTGTGTGAGATGCTAACTGCTACATTAACTTCTTAACAGAATGTATGCTTTAGTTTGAGAAATATATTAGTATTTCACAAGTTTTATATATTGACATGTATCCTTTAACCATATAGGAAAGAACTGCCATTGTTGATGTCTCCACTGTTTTGAAATATTCCACTTTAAAACATTTTGTAAAGTTTTTAAAGTATCTACTGTTACTGTTACTTTTTATACTATATTTGTAGAATTTTCTTTTGGTTTAGCCATTGAATATTATCACAGGATTTTAATAGTGTTTCTTTTTCATCTGAATAGAATGAAAATGGTAAGTGTTTGTTTTAATGGTCAACTGATTGTTTTTTTTTTTATCACCTGTTAGAATGAAAATTTAAAATTATCTTCATTTTTATTTACTGTTTTCTTTAGATATTTGTTGACTGTAGAGAATGTATCAACCCAATAATGCCTGGTTAAAAATATTCTTTCCATTAATTGAGGAAAGCAAAGCTGGGGTGTTTAAGGAAAATAGAAATTTCTTAACATAAAGCTCCTAAAATTGATGAATTAAATTTGGGGTCCTTTATACTAATTGTCAAATAGCATACTTTAATCAAATACTCATTGAGCACTGTAAAATTAAAGCATGCAACTTCAAAGACTCTAATTTAAAGTTGTTTGAAAAGCTTAATTTCTTATTACTTAACAGACATCCCGCTTAAGCAGACCTCATCCATTGCAGTGGCTGGAGCTGTGATTGGGGCTGTCCTGGCCCTGTTCATCATCGCTGTCTTTGTGACTGTGCTGCTGACACCACGGAAGAAGAGACCATCCTATCTTGACAAAGTGTAGGTAACAGTTTGTACTTGTGTTCAGCTGTGATCATCCATTTTCCATCAGCCTTTATGTCCACCTTTACATTACTTCTCCTTAGTGTTCAACAGATGGAAGGAAGTAGAGCGTTGGGCCCATGTCAGTTGGCTGTGCTTTCATCAGAACATCTCAAACTACATCCTAGTAAATGAGCATCTTCATAGGGCTACCGGAAGCACATGTGTTAAGCAGATCCTAAACCACAGGCATGGGACATTTTTCCAAATGCATCATAATTACAACTTATGTTGTCCAACCTGAATACTTTTAATAATTACTGGTTTCACTATTAGAAACATCTTAGACTTAATTGATTATATGTCTGTCTTAGATATAGATAAAATTAAACTATGCCAAGAGTTATTTTTAAAGGCTCTCATTGTAAAGACTTTTCCTTAAGAAAAATGCTTTGTTTCAGTAAATTATAAAATGAGCATCCTTTCATTGAATGAATAAACAGCTTTTGGCCTGATTACTGAGATTGCATTGTAAGATAAATATTGTACCTTGTTGTGGAATGGTATAACTAGTTATATATTTCCTTTGAATCTTGTCACTATCTCTGGTTTGGCTGGATGATACCTTTTATATTTCACATGGTTGTATTTGGAACAGAATGAGATGGCTTTGCTTTGTGAACTGAGTAGTGGGGTTTTCTGTGTAGTCTGTTGTTGCAGGAGGGCATGAGGCTGGTATTCAAGTGATATGTTCCTTTTCTCTCTCTGTCTCTCACTTTTTCATAAAGTGTTTTGGGGTGTCAGGTGTGTGCAGCATTTATTCCCAGAACTCAGGAGTCAGAGGCAGGAGATTCTCTTGAGTTCAAGGCCAGCCTGGTCTGCAGAGTGAGTTCCAGGACAGCCAGGGCTACACAGAGAAACTCTGTCTCAAAAAACCAATAAGGATTTATTTAATCTAACATAGTCACTGCACTGGTCTTTCTGGATTATAGACCCTGTCAGTGTAGTCAGTGTTGCCACAAGCAGGTCACTGGTCCCATAGGCCTCTGTTCCCTTACCTATATGGTACTATAAATTTTTGTAATTTGCTTTGCTTTTTTTGGAAATTGGGGTTTGGGTTTTGTTTTTTTTTTTTTTTTTTTTTTTTTGTTGTTGTTGTTTGACACAGGATTTTTCTGTGTAGCAGAGCTCTGGCTATCCTGGACTTTGTAGACCAGACTGGCATTGAACTCACAGAGATCTGCCTGCCTCTTCCTTCAGAATGCTGGGATTAAAGGTGTGTGCTACCATGCCTGGTGCAATTTTCATTAGAGGAAAGTTATTTTTATGAATAAAAGATGGCAAAATGCTGCTTTAGTTTGATAACTCAAAGACTGGAGCTCTTTTATGAACTTTTTAATACTTTTCACTAAAAAATATTGGTTCAAGTTCATATCGACAAATGAGTATATCATGGCAAATTTATTATTTTAGCATATAAAGATTTCATTTATCTTTTAATATAGGTAGCTTTTTCTTTTATTTGCTAGTGAAAAATACTGGAAATACATCTTTACTTTTCAAAAGCATTGAAAACTGTGTATGTGTATGAGATTATTTTCCATAAAACAGGACTCATGAATTTGTTTTTAAATATATGAGTGACATTTAAAATATATGTGAATATCAGGGAATTTTACAAATGAGTTCATCAAAAATATATTCTTTAGGGAAATCCTGGATCCTTTGTCTATTTCAGATGGTTTAATTTATAATGGATTGCTGCTAAAAAATATTAATTTTATTGAGTAAATGTTCTAAAAATGAGTGAACCCTTTTAAAAAGATTTATTGATTTTTGTTTTGTGTGCATGTTCATTTTGTATGCATGTATGTCTCTGTATCATGTGCATTTCTGGTGCACGTGGAGGTTAGACCAGGCATCACATCCCTTGGAACTAGAATTTCAGAATGATCGTGAACACCGTGTGGGTGCAGGATGGAAAATGAACCAGGGTCCTCTGTGAGAACAAGAACTTCTAACTTCTGAGCAGTCTCTCCAGCCCCAAGGTGGCCCTTTTGAAAAATCTGTATTGGAAAGCAGTTTCAAACCATAATGTGAACTTCTGTTAATCTTTCAAGTCACTTCAATGACCATTTGGAGAAACATAATAATAGACACATTAGCAGCTGGAGAGATGGCTTAGCGAGTTAAGATTCTTGCTCCTGCAGAGGAGCTGAGTGTGGTCCAAGCACCCACATCTGGAGGCTCACTTCCACCGTGACTCTGGCAGCAAGGGGTCTGACTGTACAAGTAACTTTTATTCTCCTGATAATTGTCTCTGAGGCTTATTGCCTCCATCTGCTATCCTGTGCCTAGTCCTGAAAGCTTCAAGCCTCCATACAATCTAACCTAGGCTTAGAAAGCCTTCAGCTTGAGACTTACTGCTGAATCTGCTCACCATTTGTAGTTCTTTCTAAACTCTAGCCGCTGCTTCAACTCAGCTTTTCTGGCTCAAACTCTGATTCAGTCTGGTTTCTCTCAGTTTCTCTGCTTGGCCTCAAACTGACTCTAGCAATCTGTTCTGATTTCCTGGATCCTTCTCATTCTCTGGCTCCTTCTGTCTTCACCTGTGTCTAGCTTGTTCTCTCGTCAATCTCTCTTTACAACTCTCCTGGTAAAAACTGCCTCTGAATTCTAGGAACTACACAATGCCATGAACTCAACTCCTGCACTACCTCCAGACTGACTCTCAACCAAACTGCCTGAACAGCACCAACTAGAACTTAAGAGATCTGAATGACTCTGTCTCTTAAGTGCTGGAATTAAAGGCATGTACCACCATGCCTGGACCTAAGCTTTTCTTTACTTGAAACCTGCTCTACACCAAGCTGGCCTTGAACTTGGAGATCTGCTTGCCTATCTTCTGGGATTAAAGGCATGTCTATATTCCAGCTGGATCACACAGACCTAGAAGGTCTTTGGATGTGATCTCTTGCCAGAGCAGCCATGTTCTGAATTCAAATTCCTCTACATCTGACCTCTTTTCTGGCTACTGGGCATCCACTTATATGTGACAGATATATGCACATGTACAATAAATAAAAAAATATTTAAAAAACAATACTGTATTTAAAATGTTTGTCTTCATAATCAAAGGTGAAAATATATTAAATTTAAAAAGATGGATCATGCACAAGATTACTTGCTTAATAATTTCAGTGCTCCTCTTGGATTATTTCATTAATGTGAATAAACTAGTTTGGTGTTACGTATTAGAAGTAGTACTTATTTTTGTTATGAACAGAATATAACTTAAGCATGTAGAATAGACTAATTATGTATTCTTCTAGTATGAAGAAAATATCCTTCTGGTTTGTGAGAACCTTGTTTTCTTTGTTTTGTCTCCCCCCCATCTGTTCACTGTTTGGAACACAGAATCGACCTTCCACCTACACACAAGCCACCCCCTGTGTATGAAGAACGAGCTCCTTCTTTGCCTCAGAAAGATCTTCTGTGCCAGGTACGTGTTCACAAAGGCACTTAAAATCACCTGAACTAGCTTCTGAAAATCTGCCCAGCTGTTGCAGTGCACAGCTGCAATCCCAGCACCCGAGAGGCTGGAGCAGGAAGACCAGAAGTTTAAAGTCAGCTTTGGCTACACAGTGAGTTTGAGGCCAGCCTGGGCTACTGGAGACCCCATTGCAAAAATCAAAGTGAATAAATTTTTTTTTTTAATCCTATGCCATTTGTATTATTTTCTCAAAACATTGTCATCTGTTTTGTAATGGTATAAAATTCTTAACATGTTCAAGTATTCCTCTGAAATACACGGGTTATCAGTCAGACTTCATGTGAGTAAGGGAAGTCAGTCCTGTACTGGCCCTTCTCTAAAAGCTGCGGTTGGAGACTGTGAGCTATTGACCTACAGATGTATTGTAAAAATTGGCATTTAAAAATTTTATTTATCATTCATTACACTTTATTCACTTTGTATTCGGATGTGGCCTCCTCTCTCATCTCCTTCCAATCCCACCCTCCCTCCCTCTTCTCCTCCCATGCTCCTCCCCCAGTCCACTGATAGGGACCCCCCCCCATCCGTCCCATTTGACCCTGGCTTATCAGGTCTCATTAGGACTGGCTTCATGGTCTTTCTTTGTGGCCTGGTAAGGATGAACTCCCAGAGGGAGGTGATCAGAGAGTCTGCCACTGATGTGGATGAAAAGACCATAAGAACCTTTAGTGCAATGTTGTGGATACCTGCTTTTCTTTGAGAAATACATTTTACTCTTCTCTTCAGTATGAAAGAGGTCTAAATTTTAGCATCCCTTTATTGAGCAACAGGTGCTATGTATTCTAGTTTAAAATCCTGAAAATGAATATTGGATCCTCATGTTATGGTGATTTTCAGCATTTATGTTAAAGTGAATGTTCAGTAGCTCATGTGAAAGTGCAGCGCTTGTCATATTGTATCTACATCTAGTTAATATTTTTGAGAAAGATTATACAAGTACTTTAATTTTTTATTCTCAATTGTAGCCATTTTGTGGGTTTTTTGTGTTAGCAGTTTTAGTTTGTTTTGCTTCCATTTTCTCTGTTACACATATAGTGTTTTATGTTCTCTCTAAGTATCTGGGATTGGATTCTAGAATAGTCTTTTTTTCCTTGAAAACTATGCCTTTGATCTCCACCCTGCATTCACTCTGAATACACATTGCACTTAATTTGGTTGGAGAAAAGGAATGGCTCCATGAAGACATCCTCAGCTCCTGTTCCTTTGCTCACTGTACAGTCAGCCTGCTGCTAAGCCTGGATGCGGCAGGCAGGAGTAGGGAGCACTCGTCCAAGTACTGCCGCTAGCAGTGGCTCCAGCGCTGCCCTCCTGCAGCTGTGAATCTTGACACTGGATCTTTTCAGAGCCCTGTTTCATATAAAGTACAGCCTTTGGCAAGTAAATAAAAGTGGGAAACAGTGTGAAATGGTTGTGGCGCTCTTGACCAGAGATGATAAATGCTAGAGAGGGTTCCCGCCTTATTCTGTGGGTATCCAGGCTTTGTTCTGAGAATTTTGTTTAGGATATTAATATTAGGGCTTTTTTTTTAGAAGAAATTTAATTGAATATAATTTAAATCTTGTTAGAAAAATCAGTTTATATATAATTTATTCCTTGTATTTTGAAGATGACTGTTTATAGAAGAAGTAGAAAAAGTTATTTGGTTCAGGTCATATGTTAAGACCTTAAAATATTAGCGTCTTATTTAAGAAATTACAAGCGAGTTGGGTGAGGTGGCATATGCCTGGGAAGGCAGAGGTAGATGGATCTCTTTGATTTTATGGCCAGCGTGGCTAAAAAGCAAGTCTAAGACAGCCAAGCTACACAGAGAAACCTTGTTTCGAAAAAACAAAACAACAAACAAACAAAAAAAAAGAATGAAATTACAACTATTACATATACACTAAAAGACTGCATAAAAACAGAAGGAAGCTGTTCTTGGATGACTTGAGATGACAGTGAAGCAGAGGGCTTTCAGGATGGCTCAGTTTTCGAGGTAGGAGATGAATTACTAAGATAATAGAGGAATTTGATTGTACTAAGTCTAGTAAGAGGCATAATCCTGGGCAGAAATGAAGAATGACACTGAAAAGTAGTCAAAACCACTTGTTGAAGGAAACTTGCTGGGGAAACATCTTATAAACACATGAGCAACATTGGTCCTTGAGAAGTAAGCAACCAGTTAGCATTGTAATTTCTTTTTCCTCATTGACACCAAGCAGTCAAAAGCATCAGTCAGCAGTGTTTTCTTCTCAATATATAAAACTGAATCTAGAAAATATTGCCTAGGAGAATCAGAACCTGAGTTGGACATGAAATTAGACAACTCTTCATCCTTTTAAGAATGCATTTGGAAATGGAGTGAATTTATTATGCCTTTCCAATTATAATATCATACACTAATTGTATGGATATTTGTTTTAAGTTTATCATATCAAATGGCAAAGCATATAACTATTCTTGTTTACTAAGGAATCTGTAAGTTTATTGTGGCCGTGCTCTGATTCAAAAGATAACTTATGAGTTTTTAAATTCGTTAGTTTCTACTTGAAATCATTACTTAGCTGTATGCCTAGTGACAAAGGGCTTATGTTTCCAGAAGGCCAACCTGGCTTTAAGGAAGAGCCTGATGTCAGCATTAAACACCACTCTCTCCTCAAAGGCAATAGAGATAGTTTATTCTTGAGCCAAATGTGAATGTGCACAGCCCAGGCACAGGGTAACCTCCAGGACCATGCCCCAGTGTAGAAACAAGATATAGAACAAGGAAAGAAAGTCTTAAATTGAGGCACACTTTCAAATACACTGGTGGAAACTTAGCTTAGGCAGGCTACAGCAGAGTGTGGACATTCCAAATGTAGGTACTATGCACTGTGTGAAAGTGTTTGTGCCTTTTGAGTTGGTGGAAACTAGTGGTCTGTTACATTAAAGCATTACAAGAACTCTGACCAGATGGACACAAGAATTCCAAGCCTGACAGAAGTTGAAGTGAATGGCTGCTAAGGGAACGAAAGGTAGCCTATTATTATTTTGGCCTTAGATCAGCAGCATTCCTACAATCAAGTTCCGATCCATCAGTAAGTACTGTGGAATCTTTATGATGAATGTAACCCTTTGTCTGCAAGTTTCCGTGTGTGCTGACCTATTCATTGGTGGTTTTCCTTGAGAAATGCTAGAAAGAAGTGACTCTTTCCCACGTATGCCTTTTCACAGTAATGAGCGTTACTTTGGTGGTAGTACCTAAGAGCTTTTCCTCCAGATCTAAGTCATTCATGAAAATGAAGCCTGGTATTGTGAAAGGCACTTGGCTTGAGTGGGAAATGTCTTTCTACAGAGAAGATGTCTCAAGTGGCAGGAAATGAAGCACTGTCTTGTCTGACAGCAAAAAGCACTTAAATCCGCCAGTGTGTCCTTTCTCTAGATGAACAGCTCACAGAAGAGATCTTCATTTATGAAACATACAAGGGTGCAACGCTAAACTGTGTCTACCATTTCATGACGGCTTAGTTTCCTTGTGTGCTTCATGCACAAGTGTACTCTTCATACAAAATCTATAATCCAATCTTACAGAAACTTAAAAAGATCAATCTCTTTTCTTTTCATTTCACGATCTTCAAAGATCCCAGTTCCTTCTCCTCAGCATCACTGCTGTTGAAGATCCCCACTGTACTTTTCTCCATGACTTGACTTCATATTGTCTGTGAATGATTATTTTAAAATAGAGGTAGGGCCGTAGGATATATCTGGTTTGAAAATTTTCTTTGTTTACTATGTCTTCCATGCTACTGTATTTTTCAGGGTGGCAAATGCAGTTCCCTTCATCAAGATCCTCTGGGTTGTTAAACGAATATTCATAAATACACTTTTCAATTTCCTTGAATCAGAATCTTGGATTTGTTGACAGTTGGCATGTCCCCACCAGACTAGGTGTGTTTTAACGGTTTAAGTCTAAGTTCTGTTTGTGTATCTCTGCCCCACTCTAGGTGACTTTCGAAATACTCCATTACAGTAATACACAAAATTCACCCAATGAGATCCTTATTATTTTGCATAGTTGTGGTGAAAATATTTTTTGCATTTTGTTGTGCTTGTAATTTATGCCAAGAAGTAGATTACTCTGTTTTTTGTTTATTTGTGTTTTTTTTGTTTTTTTTTGTTTTTTTTTTTTTTTTTTTACATTTCAGAAGATGTTAGCCATAGTATGGATAAGTGTTCTTACAAATAGCATGCAAAACCTGTTTCCCTCTTCATCCTGTAATATGAGATATTTTCTGTGGATTTTGGTTGAAATCAGCCCTAGTTTTATAACCAGTTACTAGTTACAGAACCACCAATTTGCATCCCCCTGCCCAATTTTTTTAGTTGTGTTTTGAACTTTGTTTTTTATTTAGAAATTCTGATATAGTATAGTCCTTTGTTTTAGATTATTTCCTATTTTATAACTTTATGATATCAGTAGTTTTTATGCAATCAAGGATTAGATTAGTTTCTTAAATTATATAAAAGTCTAGTAGTTTAATGTTTTATTTTAAAACTGATATTTTGTGTGAGTAATTTCAAGTGGAGAACTGTTTAACCTGTGGGATCACTAGTTGCTTAAATTTCTGAGAATTTAAGTGTGTAATTATATTTTTGTGTTTTCTTATTAAACCATAAGTTGGTTATATGATTTACTATTTACTGTAGCGAATTGTCTATCAATTTTTTCTTGCCAAAATATTCTCTCTCTCTCTTTTTTTTTTTTTTTTTGACTTTATGAATGACTTCCCAGGCTTCATAAAACTGTGTATTGAACTTCGGGATTACGTTAATGCAAACTGACAACCATGGTAATATCAATTCCAGACATCACATGGGCTCTCATTTTGGTGTTTGTTTATGTGCTGGAATAAAATGTCTTCTTTGGAACACATGCACTCTTTTCTCTTAGGGTTCATTGTACACTGTTAAGGATTTTGATCGCCATCTGT